AGAAAAATAATAATAATAAAAATTATTCATTATTGTTACACATTTAGGTCTACGTGACTATTTTTTATACTTTTATTTATTAATACAATTAATTTTAATTAGTATGTATAGGACTTCGTTTTACGTGTGTTGTTTAAATTTTTTTTTTTTTTTTTTTTTTTTAATTTTTTTAAAAAAATATTTTTTTATAATTTTTAAATTTTTTTTAAAAAATTTTTTTTTTTTTTTTTTTGTTAATTTATTTATATATATATATTTATTAGGATTACATAATAAAATTACATATATAAACTTAAGCTTGCTTGCCTTATAGTTACGAATTCATTTTTAAATATATATTTATAACTGTAGTAAAATTTTTTTATTAATTATTTTCATTCGTTTTTTTTTTTTTTTTTTTTTTGTAACTAATTATATAAAATTATATTTTAATATTAATTTTAATTTTTTATCTTTTTTTTTAAGAAAAATTGTTTTCTTTTATTTTCTATGAATATTTTTAAGCAATTAAACATAAACTTCAAAAGCTTACGAAACATAAAAAAAAAAAAAAATAAGAACATAAATAATAAACAAAAGAAAAAGAACAAATTTAATTTTAATGGCTTCGTACAGACATTGTTTGTAATTATTAAAAGAAATATTTTTCTATAAAAAGAGAGAAAACAATTCAACAAAAATTGATATACATACACACACACACACACACACGCACAAATGAATCATTTATTACATAGTCTCGCATACACAGTTAAGGTTCTTCTTATTTGATTTTTTTAACATAAGGACATTCTTAGTTTGTTGGACTCTATTACGTTTTAGTCGTTTAGTTTATAGAATTATTATTTATTTATTTATTTATGTATTTTTTTTTTTTTTTACATTTTTGTAATCTTTTGTTGTTTTATATAAATGTTATTTAGGATTATATTCTCTATATTAAAATTATTATTACTTTTTTTTTGTTATATTTAATTTACATATGGATTTTTAGAATTTTTCCTTTTGA